AAATAAAAGAAGAAGAAAAAGGAAAAGCGCCGTTTAAATCCTCGATATGAAGATGGCAAGGGTTCACTGCGCGCCAAGAGGATAAAAAAAGGGAGTAATGGAATCGGGATGGGGGAGGCATAATTAGTCGATTGCATGGTGATGGCCACAGTTAGTCGGAGAGTAATTAGTATTTATATTTAAAATTATTTTTTGTTATTATTATTATATCATTTTTCGTGCCACGCCAGATAATATCCGCGTGGTCCAATTTTCGTGCCACGTCGGATAACATCCACGTTGTCTCCATCCGTGGGTAGATACATGATCCAATTTTCGTGCCACGTCAGATAACATCCACGTGGTCCTCATCTGTGGGTAGATACACGTCAGATAACATCCACGTGGTCCCCATCCGTGTGCAGGTGCATGATCCACTTTTCGTGCCACGTCTGCAGATAACATCCACGAGGTCCCAATGCCAAAGATATAATGATGATGGAGTGATATTCGTGCCACGTCAGACTACACTCCTTGTGTTTAATTAGTTTCGGGCAAGTTCCGTCTTTTTTTTTCTTTTTTTTTCCCCTTGTGTTGAGCTGCTGACGCCTTATGCTCGAACGAGTGGTGTGTGGCAGCTGCAAGCAGGATGGTACACAGTTCATCATACAGGGGTGAAGCATGTCGTCGTTGTCCCATACTAGCGCACATGCATCTAGCTCAGAAGAGATGTAGGGAGAGGAGCACACATGGACACATGCAGACATGCGCACATGCGCACATGCACTGAAACACTGAAACACTAAAACACTGAAACACTGAAGCACTCAAACACTCAAACACTCAAACACTCAAGACTCGAACACTAACACACGCATACACACACGCACACACACGCACACACACGCACACACACGAACACACACGCACACACACACGCAAACAACCAAACAGACACAAACACACACACACACACATACAAACACACACAAACAGACACAAACAGACACAAACACATAGGCACAGAACACACACAAACAGACACAAACACATAGGCACAGAACACACACACACACACAAAAAAAAAAAAAGCGTGCATTCCAACACTCACTTAACAACTGAACTCACTGATAGATATGCATACGTTCCATTGCTGATGCTTTGCTGATGTTCGATTAAACCGTCCTCCATCACAGTGAAGGTTTTTTTTTGGGTGCAGTTGTGTATTGCGAACATAACAAAACACACACACACACACACACATACAGATACATACATTACTTAGATAACCTACCTACCTACCTATCTACCTACCTACCTACCTATCTACATGCATACATACATACATACATACATGCATACATACAAACACGCATACATACATAAAAGTATGCATGTAGACATCCATCCATCCATCCATCCATCAATCCATCCATCCATCCATCCATCCATACATACATACATACATACATACATACATACATACATACATGAGTGCAGACATACATAAGTGCATACATACATTGTCATATGATGACGATTACATTAGAAAGCATGTGTGAAAGAGAGAAAAGTGTTTTCGATCACGCACTTACGTGACGAAGCGTACGTACATACAAAAAGGCATACCTTTATGCGACACTGACGCACTTAAGAAGTATGCATTTATGGCACAGTCGCGCTTAACAGAAATCTCTCTAGGGTAACGTGCCTTTGTCTGATGTGTGTTCACTTGGATCGTCGTGTGACTATGAGGATCCCGTTAACTGCAGCTCAGTGCAGTTAAGTGCAATCAAGTGCAATTAGGGCATCCGATGGAGGTCTGGATCTCAGACCCCCATATCTCATAACGGTGTTAGCGAAGAAGAGACTTGTAATATCATTAGTGTATAATTTCTAGTAAGAAAAGAAAAGAGTAAATAATTAAGGAGAGCGTGAATGCTTCTCTCCCGCAATTCCTTTTTTTTTTCCCTTTTTTTTTTCCTTTTTGGCTCACAAGTAATTCACCGTGTGGCGATGGGATAATCTCAAGGTCTGGCCAGATGGAAAATAACATTTTCAAAAATTAAAATTATTGCGGGAATTATTCGGGAAATTATTCCAGCAACAGCGCGTGACCGTTGGTAGATGAAAGAGACACTGGGTCTCGCCGCACGGCATACGAAACGAAAACGAAACGAGTGCATCTGCCCACGAAAGGTGGCGCAATACACTCGTTACTGTATGTATAGCAAAACGATGAACCTGGCCATTTTCTGCAGGAAGATGCACTCGTTTCGTTTTTCGTTTCGTGTCCCGTGCGGCGACGCCCACTATTTCGTTGCGGTCCCTAGAAGAGAGAGAGAGAGAGAGAGAGAGAGAGAGAGAGAGAGAGAGAGCAGTAACTGACGGCGGACCGTTAGGGCATGGTCGCTGGGCTAATCGGTGAAGAGATAACGGAACGGAAAAGAAGGGGGACTTACCTAACGGAACCCCTAACAGGATCGCGGGTTCCGTTAGGGCATGGTGGCTGGTGACCATCTCTCACTACCTTCTTGTTCCAGTGTCGATTATCGTTTGTTAATGTAGGTGTTGGCTGTACGCCGTTGGGGGGGGGGGGGGGGGGGGGGGGGTGGGGGGGGGGGGGGGGGGGGGGGGGGGGGGGGGGGGGGGGGGGGGGGGGGAAAGGGGGGGGGGGGGGGGGAAGGGAGGGTAGGGAAAGCGAGGGGAACAGGGGGAAGAGAGCGCCACGTGTCGCTCCACGTGTTAGGTCCACATGCGGAGCTAAGGAAGGCTATAGGTGTAGCGCCACGTGTAGCGCCAGGTCACGTGGAGCAAAGGCTAGCTGTAGTGCCACGTCACGTGGAGCTAAGGCGAGCTAGGTGTAGCTCCACGTGTAGCGCCACTTGTAACGATCTTTTGTGCGACATGTACGCTAGGCCACTTGTAGCGCCAGCTGTTTGCCACGTGGGAATGCGACGTGGCATATGGCACATGCCGCCATGATCTTACACATGGCGACATGTGAAACGCCATGTGTAAATCCATTGCGCCAGCTGTTTGCCACGTGGCATTACGTGTAACGTCGTGTTTGTGTCAGATAGACGTACGCAACGCCGCGTGTCATGAGCTGAACACGAAGGAGATTTTGCTCTTGACGATTCCTCGTGTAAGTTTTTTTTGTTTTTTAGTTTCACCTAATATGACTGATCTAGGTGATTGACTTCCTGTAGGCTTCTCTCCTTCATCACGGATATTATTGTATTCGTAAGCCAATCCAATCAATCGACCAATCGATATATCAATCAATCATTCTTCAATAAAATCAACCAGTCAATCAAATCAAATCAATTCAAATCCAATCAAATCAAATCAAATCGAATCAAATCAAATCAAATCTAATCGAATGAAATCGATCATTCATCAATCAAATGAACCAACCAACCAATCAATCAAATCGATAAATAAAACCAATGAATGGATGAATCAATCAAATGTATCGATCAAAATAAATAAAGTGAATGAATGAATCAATCAATGGTCGATTCAGCCATTCATCATTGTCAACATCGAACCCTTGGGTGACCTCCGCTAGCAATCATATGTGTGTGTGTGTGTGTGTGTGTGTGAGAGAGAGAGAGAGAGAGAGAGAGAGAGAGAGAGCACCGGTGGAACGTAGAGCAAATCCCTCACACGGGTCTCCCCCAACCCCCCAACCTTTCTGCATCAGATCCATTGCCTCTCAATTACCCCTCCTCTCTCATGTGCAAAGAAAGATGCTATTCATTCTCCCTCTCCCTCTCTCTCTCTCTCGCTTTCCTTTTCATTTTATTCTTCTTCTACAACGGAAGCTTTTTTCTTTAGAGAGAGAGAGAGAGAGAGAGAGCACTGGTGGAACGTGGAGCAAATCCCTCACACGGGTCTTCCCCCCCTAGAGAGAGAGAGCACTGGTGGAACGTGGAGCAAATCCCTCACACGGGTCTTCCCCCCCGAGAGAGAGAGAGAGAGAGAGAGAGAGAGAGAGAGAGAGAGAGAGA